TCCAACCACACTGACCTTTTTTTTTTTTCAAAGTGGGTTCAGAGTATTGAACTTGGGTCCTTGTTCTTTACAAAACCAACACTTTACTGACTAAGCCACTTTCTGCACAGCCCACCTTGCCCTGTTTTACAGTTTCTAGATCCCAGTTCCCATCTTCTTTATTATTTCTTTTTACTTGAGTTCATGTGTGTAAATCTCTCGAGTTGAACGCTGGACACATTCCTTGAAACCTGCGGTAAATGTCTATCAGCCCATGCTGGGTTCTATGAAATTTGGCGTGCAGTCTATGCATTTGGGGGGAGGATTTCATATTTTTCTTCATAATTTCCTTTCATTTTTATCTAAAGTGTGGTATCTTTTCAAACTTATTTTCAATTCTATTAACATTATCATACTGAAAAATCTTCTGATACCAACTTCAGAATTTATTGACACTTTCTCTGTGGTCTGGTAGTTGATTCTCCTTTAATTTCTACTGCATGACCAAAAAGAGTTTGCCTGATGGGGATACTATTCCCTGTGAGCCTGGTTAAATCCTGGCAGTCTGAACTTCAAGACTTTTGTTCAACTTTGACCTGTTTGGCCTGTCTATCCTAAGAGCAGTGTATTAATATTTGAAATAGAACTAGTTGATCTGCTTCTCCTATGATATAGTCAATCATTCATACACCCATGGTTGACATTATACATTTGTTTTTCGAGACAGGGTTTCTCTGTGTAGCCTTGGCTGTCCTGGACTCACTTTGTAGACCAGGCTGGCCTCGAACTCACAGAGGTCCGCCTGCCTCTGCCTCTCTGAGTGCTGGGATTACAGGTGTACACCACAGAGCCAGCTCAGGTAGATGGTTTTGTGATCTAGTATTTTGCTAATTTGTATTTATTTGCTCAGGACCCTTAACACCTGCTGATCAACTGGCTTGAGCCATTTGCATTTACTTTAGTTCCTGGTGACAGTACCATTTATTTGTGGTCACATTTCTTTTCTTTTTGTGGTATTTACTCCTTCCTTCCTTCCTTCCTTCCTTCCTTCCTTCCTTCCTTCCTTCC